GGCTGGGCAAATATGCTTTATTTTTTATTGTTTTATTGAGGTGTATTTGAAATGTAACATTATATTAGTTTCAGGCGTACAACGTAATGATTTATTATTTGTACATATTGTGAAATGATCACTTTATTTTGTACTACAGACCATATAGTGCTGTGGGAGATTACAGAGGAAGCTTATTAACATGAGATGGGGGAGTCAGGAGAAAATTTCATACAGAATATAGCATGTAGTGCTAATTTCTTGGGCTTTTTTAAAAAAAATTCATTTATTTATTTTTGTTACAGATATTTCTCTTTTTTCCCCCCCAGACCCTCCTCCCGATTCCTGTGCCCCACCCCCAAGCTTTGTTGTCTATGTCCATTGGTTTAATTTCTTGGCCTTTAACTGGGAATCAAAACTAGTAAATGCCCAAACTTGATATTGTACCCCTTCAGTCTCTTAGGATGCCCATGCAGAACCCTCCTCTTACTCAGAGAGGTTTATGGTTAGTGAGAATGATTCCTGGTAATATCTTTGGGACAGGACTTATAATGACTTGACATTGATTGCTTCTGGCCAAGCTGGATTCTGCCCTTTTTTACTGAGACTGGATAAGCAGTCTGTATTTATACTACAGGTAAGATTATTTGGTTATATAGCCTACACAGAAGAGTGTTCCTGATAATCTGATTATTATAATAAGAATGCTTCAACTATTCTCTCTGGTCTGCGGGCCAGTGCTCTAACCACTGAGCCAAACTGGCCAGGGCTGCTTGAACTATTCTCAAACCCCAATTTGAGTTTTAGGCTGATAACTTCTCATAGTTAGTTGACTTTTATACAACTGAGGTGTGCATTATAAACTTCTCATAGAGAAACTCCTAAAACTTCTAAGATAGTGGTAGCATAGAGGCAAGAATAAGGCAAATGGAACATTAGATGGTATTTAATTATACTCTAGTTACATAAAGACTCGTCCTGTAACTACAATTACAGGAGACTAAGGAAGTACCTTCACACAATGACCTTCTGGGATTTGTCTTGGTATGTCCTTTATATTCTGTGGTTCAGTGATTGGGAATGCCTGTATTCCCAGTATGCTGGATGGGTTTTATGCTTCACTCACAGGAAATCATAGCAGTAGGATCTATTTTCGTCCTTATATAGATTCTTTTCAGTTGTGGGGATATGAATTTTGTATTGTTCAGTGGAAGGGGGAAAATCCCTTAGACACTAGATACCAATTTAGATTTGACTTTTTAAAAAAACTTTTTAGCCCTGGCCGGTTTGGCTCAGCGGTTAGAGCGTCGGCCTGCGGTCCTGAGAGACCCGGGTTCGGTTCCCGCTAAGGGCATGTACCTCGGTTGCAGTTTGTCCCCGGCCCTGGTCGGTTGTGCGGGTGGCGGCCACTCGATGTGTCCCTTTCACGTCGATGTTTCTCTCTCTCTCTCCCTCCCACTCTACCTGAACAAAAAATGGAAAAATGTCCTCGGGTGAAGATAAAAAAAATAAAATAAAATAAAATAAATAAAAAAATAAAAAAACTTTTTATTTTGAAGTAGTTATAGATTGACAGGAACTTGCAAAAAACATGTTCAGAGAGGTCCTGTATGCACGCGTGTGTGTACATGTGTGTGTGTTACTCCTATACAGTTTATCACATGTGTAGCTTCCTGTAATCCAGACACAGAACTGTCCCATCACCACAGGATTCTCTCATGCCTCCGCTTTCGCCACGCTGCTCCCCTCTTCCTTGGGCACCACTGATTTGTTCTCCGTCTCTATAATCTTTGTTTTTGGAAGAATGCTATATAAGCAGAATCATGCAGTCTATTACCTTTTGAGGTTGGATTTTTTTTCCCTGTGTATAATTCTCTGGAGATTCATTGAGGTTGTTGCATACATCAAGCTTATTCCTTTTTACTGTTTAGTAGTATTCCATGGTATGGATGTACCTACCAGTTTGCTTAACCATTGAAGGACGTATGAATTGTTTCCAGTTTGGGGCCATTATGAATAAACTTGTTATGAACATTCACGTACCGATTTTTATGTGAACATATATTTTCACTTCTCTTGGATGCAAAATGCAGAAATACAGTTGCTAGGTTCATGGCAATTGCATGCTTAGTTTTTTTAAGAAACTGCTAACCTGCCCTGACTGGTTTGGCTCAGCAGTTGGAGCATCGGCCTGTGGTCTGGAGAGACCCAGGTTTGGTTCCCGCTAAGGGCACGTACCTTGGTTGTGGTTTGTCCCCGGCCCTGGTTGGGTCGTGTGGGTGGCAACCACTCGATGTGTCTCTTTCACGTCGATGTTTTTTTCTCTCTCTTTCTCTCTCCCTCCCACTCTATCTGAACGAAATATCAAAAAAAAAAAAAAAAAAAAATGTCCTCAGGTGAGGATAAAAAAAAAAAGAAACTGCTAACCTGTTTTCTAGAGTGGTTGTATCATTGCCCACTTTTGTATGGAAATGTTTTGTAGGATGAACTTTTTGTTATATAGTATGAAATATATCTGTTGATTTTGGTAGCAATCTTGTTGTCCTTAATATATCTGGTTGCTTCTACAGTCCTGACTTGGGTGAGATGGCATTTCCCAATGGGCATGTACTTGGGTCACCAGTTATTTTGATGGTTTTAACACTCAGGAGGAAAGTCCCTCAACTTCCACAAAAGCCACACAAACTGCCTACATGAAACTCGCTTCACTTTCTTTTTTTGTACGTGCCCCTAGCGGGAACTGAACCCTGAACTCTCTGGTCCGTAGGCCAACGCTCCAACCACTGAGCCAAAGCGGCCAGAGCTCGCTTCACTTTCTTCTTTCTAATTTCTAGAGAGGAGTTAACCCCAAACCTGAGCTCTTAATCCTACCTTTAGAAAGTTGCTTTCCTTCCTGTCTTTAGACACACCAGTCTTACTGGTTTCTGCTTAAGCATTTAAACACGCCCAGTTCTCTCCCATCTTGAAATTCCCTTCCTTTATTTTCATCTACTACCCTATCTGACCACTCTTCAAACCACATTTTTTGCCTCTGCTGTCTCTATTCCACCTACTTCCCCTTGCTTCCCCATATGCAGTACTGTAATCTAAGCTTCCTGTATGACTGCCCTGAAGTTGTCTTGCTGATGTCATCAACAAACTTCTTGCAGCTCAGCTTAATGGGTTTCAGTTTTGTTCTTACCTGACTCCTAAGTAGCATTCAGCACTCTGGATTCCTTTCTCTAAGTAGAAATGCGTTTTTCTTGGCATACTACCCCTTAGTATGCTCCTAATTGTCCTTTGCTGGTGTCTTCCCCTCTGCATATCCCTAAGGCTTGGAGTTCTACAGCGTTCTCATTCTGCGTAATCTCACTGGCTGACTCCCACATCTTTTTTTTTTTTTTTTTTTTTTTTAATTTGAGAGAGAGAAGGAAACATTGATTTGTTCCACTTATTTATGCATTCATTGGTTGGTTCTTTTTTCTTCTTATTATTAATATGTTTTTATTGATTTTAGAGAGAGAGGAAGGGAGAGGGAGAAAGTGATTGAAATATCATCTATTGGTTGCCTCCTGCATCCTTCCTACTGGGATTCGAGCCTGCAACCCGGGCATGTGCCCTGACCTGGAATCAAACCAGTGACCTTTTGGTGCATGGGACAGTGCTCAACCAATTGAACCATGCCAGCCGGGCCATTGGTTGATGCTTGTATGTGCCCTGACCAGGGATGGAACCCTCAACCTTGGTGTATCGGGACATGCTCTAACCAACTGAGCTACCCAGCCAGAGCTAACTCCCACATCTTTCCCTCCACCCCAGACCTCTCCTGAGCCCGAGGCCTCCATATCCATTTTCCTCCTAGACATCTCCACTAACTCTTCCTCAGACCTCATACACAGCATAGTTAAAACTGAATGCATTCTCTTCCCAACCCCCTTGCCTCTTAAAAAGAAAAACAACTATTCTTTCTGCAGTGAAGCATCAATATGTTCATACTTCATATACAACACTGTTAAAGCCCACTTTCAATGAATTGAGTTGCAGAGTCCACCAGAGTTAACCATGCTTCATTCAGTGCAAAAAATCATTCTGCCCCCCGCCCCCCCGGCGATCACGGGCAGCCATGGCCAAGCAGCCCTCTGGAGCACTCTTCACTCTTAACTCCTGCCGTCAGTTGACTTGTGTTATTCCCATACTGGTTTAGACCAGTACACCCTCTGCCAGGCTGTTAGCCTTTGCTTTAAAACCCGTCCAAGTACACTAATTAAAGAGGACATATAGATCTGGCCTCTGCTTACTTCTTGTCTCATTTAATCGTTTTTTTGGGGGGGCGGGCTGCTGTCCCCTTCCTTCAAACTGGACACTTTCGACATGATGACTCGACTCACTTTCACAGTCCAGTTGCGGGTGGTGGGACATGTGTGTGTGCACGGGGCAGGAGGGGCCAGCTCTCCCCCGAGTCTGTGTGTGCTGCCCTTCAGGTCTCAGCTTCTCCTCGGGAAGCCTTTCTGACTGCCCGCCCAAGTTCAGTGGCTCTTCTGTGTGCTTTTATAACAACATCCTGTCTTTCCCCTATTCTATTTTTTTTTTTCTTTTTAATCCTCATCCGAGGACATTTTTGCATTTTTTGTACAGATAGAGTGAGAAGGAGAGAGAGGAAGAGAGAGAGAGGGAAACATCGATGTGAAAGGGACACATCGAGTGGCTGCCACCCGCATGACCAACCAGGGCTGGGGACAAACTGCAACCGAGGTACGTGCCCTTAGCGGAAACCGAACCCGGGTCTCTCAGGACCGCAGGCGGATGCTCTAACCGCTGAGCCAAACCGGCCAGGGCTCTTTCCCCTATTCTAGAGCCCATGGTCGTTGATTAATTATTTTTGTAACTATCTTTCCTTCAAAGCAACCAGACTGTAAGTTCTGTGTAGATCCGCTTGTTTGCCATGGTCTCCACTTTATAAATATTTGAGTGGACAGATGGTGCTTTCTGAATACTGTGGGTGTCTCTGTAAAACACTGAAGTAAAATGTGTTTCTTTTGTAGTTGCTGTCTCTGCTGGCCTTTATCTGTGAAGAAGTTGTATCGCAATGCACTTTGTGTGGAGGACTTTACTTTTTTGAATTTATAAGCTGCAGTGCCTTTCTTCTTTGTCTCCTTATGCTGCTAGTGTACTGCACGCCCATTTATGACCGAGTTGATGCTGTAAAAGTCAAGTTATCGGTAAGCATGAAAATAGAATCCCGATATTAAGAACATAGCTATTTTGGAATCTTGTATAGTTTTATTATTAAAAGTAGTAATGCTTTCAAAACTCAGTAACATGAGAAGAGTTGTTCCAATTCTGCCTTTAAGCAACTCCGTTTTCCCTGCAAATGGGATGCTGGAAGGAGAAAGTGAAATTAGAATGAAAGTGACCAGCACTACCCATAGTTTATAGTCGCTGGTGGTTTAATCTAAGTCACATTAGATATTTTTAAAAATGAAGAGTTTGTCACTTTTGATTTCTCACATTTCAGATTGTCGCTCATTGGTTCAACAATTATTCATTGTGTATCTGTTATATGCCAGGCATTATACTAGACACTAGAGATAGAGTAATGAACTAATGTGCTGTTTATCTGGAGCTTATAAATAAACCAGCATGTGATTCTGCCTGTTTTGTTTTTATTTTATTAAGAAAAAAAGTTTGTAAGTGAATTAAGGCATTTACTAGAGATGCATAACTTTCTAAAGACTTGGTCTGCTGACCCTGTGTTTTTATTTGAGTGTAGTATAAGGATTTTTGTGAGATGACAGATGACCTTATTTTTATAGGTACTGCATTTAAAAAAGAAAGAATTGAGTAATTTACTTCTACAATAGCATTTGAATTATCAGTAGTACTTTGTGAAGAATTAATTGTACACGTCAGGGTTGACATGAAAGAATTCAGATTTCTGAGGGAAATGATAAAAATTAGAATACTTTTTTTTTTTTAATCCTCACCTGAGGACATTTTTTTGTTTTGTTTTGTTCAGTTAGAGAGAGAGGGAGAGAGAGACAGAGAGAGAAACATCGACATGAAAGGGACACATCGAGTGGCTGCCACCCGCATGACCCAACCAGGGCCGAGGACAAACTGCAACCGAGGTACATGCCCTTAGCGGAACCGAACCCGGGTCTCTCTGGACCGCAGGCTGATGCTCTAACCGCTGAGCCAAACCGGCCAGGGCTAGAATACATTTTTAACTATTAAGAATAAGAGATAGTAGGGTAAATACAAAGCAGTAAGATTATGTTTTTGTTTAAATTAATGAGAAGCAAGCATTGGGTTGTGTGTTGATTATACACCTAAGATATTCGCTTTTTTCTGTATGCCTTTTTGTACCTCATATTTTGTGCCGTAGGAATCTATTATCTTCTTTTAAAAGAATTACTTTATGTTTAATTTTTTTTTAAGTTCTTGGGATGGCCAATATGTGATTGTTTTGTCATCTTACCTGACAACAGCTGCTGTCAGTGTGTCCTGTGGTTTAGAGTCCTCACACCTTAGTGCTCCATTTTGCTGCTGAGGAAACAGGTTCAGGGTGGCTCAGTAACTTTTCCGAAGCTACAAAGCTAGGGTAGAAATAGACTGAGATTTGACCCCATTAAAGTTCTCACTCTCTGTACTCTATCATGTGGCCTAAGCAGAATCATACTAGAATCACGGCCCTAACAACTTTTTTATTAATGTGACTTTATTAATTGATTTTTTTTTTTTTTTTTGAGAAAGAGAGAGGAAGGGGGAGAGAGAGAGAGAGAGAGAGAGAGAAACATCGATTTGTTGTTTCACTTATTTATGCATTCATTGGTTGATTCTTATATGTGCCTTGACTGGGGATCGAACCCACAACCTTGGTGTATCAGGACGATGCTCTAACCAGCTGAGCTACCCAGCCAGGGCAGTCCTTGCAACTTTAGAAGTTGTCATGGCAGATATCACCATAGGAATCACTGTATAACAATGATAACAGCACACATTCATTTTATTACATACATATTAAAGGATACAGAGAATACCTGGGACTTTTTGTTAATGATATGTGTGATCTTTGAGAAGGCTTCTTTTTTATAGATAAGATTTGGACAAGGGAGAAGTTCACTAATATCTGAGCTGATTGATTTGTTGTTTATATAAATCTATATTTTAAACATTAAAGATTAAAAACATCTTTTTCATTTCTTATTTCTCAACAGCAAATCAGTATCATTATCCATAAGAATATCTTTAGAAATGTTAGGTCCTACTATAGTTCTGTATCAGTTGTATTTAAGAACATTAATCTTTTTGACAAGAAATAATAGTATAATATTTTCATTTAGTGTAATAGTCTAAACTAAACAAAATGTAAAACATTTATTATATCAAACTTGATTTGAAAAGTCATTTTCAAGTAAAGAGTGATTTAAAGATACTGGGCAATAAAATAATTCAATTATTTTATCTTAAAACAGCTTTTGTAAATTCTTTACTATATTTCTTTTAGGTCTTTTGTTTCTATTAATAGGTAATATAAAAAATTTAAAATAGTTCTAATCATAGCATATATACATATTCTACTTTTTACCTAACCACATAAGGATTTCATGTTTGTTTAAATGGTTTAAAAATCACTTTTACTGCGTGCATATTAATGTACTTAAAATTTAAACATTTTCATGTAAGGGAAGTTTTCTGTTTTAGAGAAAATATTTTGAGTGTATAGTAGTGATGTCTGAAGTAAAAGGATAATCTTTTACAAGAAAGAATTCTTTCTATTCCATTATGGGTCAGATTCTATCAAGAATAACAATAGGCAACATTTATGGGACATTTACTGTGTGCCTGGCACTGATCTAAACATTTTCCATGGATTGACACTAATCTTTAGAATCATCTTAAATAGAAGATACTGTTATTATTTCCATTTGCACATGAAGAGACAAAGGCACACTGATGTTAAGTTACTAATTCAAAGCAATATAGTCGGGATTTGAACTCAGTCTGGCTCTAGAACTTATGTTTATTGAATAGCACCTTAATCTGTCTCAAAGTGACTTTTATTTAAATACCTCCTTGAATGTAATCCAAATATTAGTGAGTAGAGTTTTATATATGTATGTAGCAAATTTGAAATAATATTCAAGGGAATAGAAAAAACAAAGTACTGCAGAAAAACACCTCTTTTACTTATTTAATCCTCTCTCGAGGACATTTTTGCATTTATCTTCAGAGCAGGAAAGAGAGAGGGGGAAGAGAGAGAGAAACATTGATGTGAGAGAGACACATCGACTGGTTGCCACCCACACGGCCCTAAACTGCAACTGAGGTATATGCCCTTAGAGGGAACCGAACCCAGGACTCTCTGGTCTACGAGCTGATGCTCTAACCATTGAGCAAAAGCAGCCAGGGCTGATGGGTGGTTCTTTTGATTCTCTCTTTTCCAAAGTGCTTTCAAAGCACCGAAGTCCTCTCAGAGAAGTTGTCTTAGCACAGAATACAATGAAAGGAAAGGAAAATGAGTTTTGTTTTTTTTCCTGGACGTAAGATAGGATTTAATAAATCCTTTGGCTTTGATAATTTTAATGTGTCCTAGAGAAATACACACACACACCCCCATCCACACACACACATACACCACCTTTTGGGGAAGTTTTATGAAAAGCTTATTTTGTAATGTATTCTCTGAATATGCCCTGTCCAAAGTGTGGATGGTGTTCCTTTACAGGGACTTTATTGAATGCCAGGCTTATTGAAAAGTTAGAGGTCAGAGTACATACATTTGGGTTGTGTGAAGGAAAAAAATAAGCCCCTAAGTTTTTTAAAAATGAAAACAATTTGTTTCCATCAACCTAACCATGCTGTATTCCTTATGTGTTTTATATATGTATAGGATTTTTATATTACTTTGGGGATAGGATCTGCATTTCTGTTGGCGTCCATCATTTTCGTTTCCACACATGACTACACCTCAGCTGAAATTGCTGCAACTGTAAGTACCTGGTATTTTTATCTTTGCTTCTTTTTGTTTCATTAGAAATACGGAATCTGGAAAGCACTTGACAAATTATACTATTGGTGAATAGTTTTGTCTTAACTTATTTTTTTTTCTTAATCCTCACCCGAGGTCATTTTTCCATTTTTTGTTCAGGTAGAGTGGGAGGGAGAGAGAGAGAGAGAGAAACATCGATGTGAAAGGGACACATCGCGTGGCTGCCACCCGCACAACCGACCAGGGCCGGGGACAAACTGCAACCGAGGTACATGCCCTTAGCGGGAACCGAACCCGGGTCTCTCAGGACCGCAGGCCGACGCTCTAACCGCTGAGCCAAACCGGCCAGGGCTTAACTTATTTTTTATCATAATTTTGAACAGGAAACCTACAAACAAATAATGATAGCTTTAAATACAATAACCTGAAAAACCTAGAACCTGTCTTTAGAATTTGGGGTTTGTTAACAAAACCCATTTACTCCACAAATGAATGTGTTATTGCTAATGAAAGTGGTAGAATAGGCTTTATTATCTTATACTTCTCTACTTTTCGGTTCAACAAAAACCCATCTACACGCCAGGTGCTGTTCTAGGTGTAGAGACTACACAAGAGAAATGATCCAAAAGTTGAGCCTAATAAAAGAGATAAGTAAACGTTTTTATCTGAAATCCTTGGTCTGGGGAAGGCAGGTGTTTTTTTTTTGTTTTTTTTTTTTGTAGAATTCAGAATATTGTGGATTTTAGAAAGGCAGTGCTGCATGTAAACTTGATTACGCAATGCCTTCAGAGGGCACGGGCAGCATCCATGTAATCCAGCATATTGCTATTTCTGAAGCATATGAATGCTCTAACAGGGATAGGTAAAGATTATAAATAGTTCTACCTCGTGTCGATCCTGAGCCATGCAAATCATGCAAATATTGAGCTTTTCTGGATCTCAGACTTGCAAATCAAGGATCATAGACCTGAATTGGTACCAGTGTTCTGAATGTTAACAACTAAGAGCTGGGCATCCGATCCCCTTAGCATCAGCTGGTTTCTGATGAATACTTTGTTCACGACAAAACTGAAGTTGTACTTGAGTAGTCAGCTAATACATCATTGAAACTATTTTTTTTAAATATTTTTTTCTTTATTGACTTTAGAGAGAGAGGAAGGGTGAGGGAGAGAGAGAGAGAGAGAAACACTGATGAGAGAGAACATTGATTGGCTGCCTCCTGCATGCCCCCCACTGGGGATTGGGCCCACAACCTGGGCATGTGCCCTGACTGGGAATCAAACCAGGGACCTCTGTGTATGGGTCACACTCAACTACTGAGCCACACCAGCCGGGCATTTTTATGATAGAAAAACTTAAAAAGAGTTCAAGAATTGCATGGCTATTACATGTATCTGTTCACAGTTTCGTAGCACTTACCTGTGTAAAAACAACAGAAGTAAAATTCATTTGACTGTGACTCATTCTAGCAATAAATCTTATTTATCCATGGATACATGAACCAATTGAAGAGAAAACCAAAAGCTTTAATAGAGCCTTATGGTTAGTTTCAGTTTATACACATATTTTTGTGGCCGAGGAATATGATAGGGTGGTCGGGAAAATATTTTCGAGTGTGGAAATGTATTACTATCAAATCTTGTGGAGGAAGTGACATGGAAGTTGAGGAAAAGTTGGGTGTAGGGGGGGGAAGCATGGCATAAAGTTCCCAGCTATTAAAAAAAGAGCTTAATTATGTATTTTAAATTAGATGGTGTGTTAGATTGTTACAGTATTTAGATCTCGTTGGATTAAGAGTGACTGGTAGTTTATTTTTTATTTATTTTTATTTTTTATCCTAACCCGAGGACATTTTTTCCATTTTTTGTTCAGATAGAGTGGGAGGGAGAAAGGAGAAGAGAGAGAGAGAGAAACATCGATGTGAAAGGGACACATCAAGTGGCTGCCTCCCGCACGACCAGCCAGGGCCGGGGACAAACTGCAACTGAGGTACGTGCCCTTAGCAGGAACTGAACCCGGGTCTTTCTGGACCGCAGGCCGATGCTCTAACCGCTGAGCCAAACAGGCCAGGGTGAGAATGACTGGTAGTTTAAAAATTCATTATTTATAATGTGCCAGAAATGACCTTTTGCAGCTATTTAAATTATGAAAAATTCTGTAAAACATTAAAAGAAAAAAAAATATGTGTGTGAAGTATGTGAACAAAGGAGCTGGAAGATTAACTGTCCGGATTATGTGGTACAGAGGGCTCTACATAGACAAGCTCACTGAGGTGGTAAGAGATGGCAGCACAGACAAGGGGACATCTGGTCTACCTTTAAAGTACTAAGCCAGTCTGTTAAGGGAGTCAGTGCCATTAGAGGAGAAGAGACTTGGGCTTTGAGGGGTGGGATTGATAATAAATTTAGGTCAGATGTGTTGGGGACACCAAGGTGAATTAATTAATTTGGAGCTCAGTTTGCTTTACAGTGAAATGAGGCAGGATGCATATTCTTTAGGGTGGAGAGGTTGGGCGTGAAGGGTAGAGAGACTGCAACAGATGCAACAAAATGTGCAAACCATGGAGACGGGGTGTTAGAGCTGGAAGGGACTTGAGCTATTACCTACATCAGTTTTCTCTTTCTATAGAGCCTTTGTGCCCCCATTTCCTTAATGGTTTTGCTAGTGAAGAATCTAAATTTGAACCAGGTGTTCTGTCTCTTGACCGAATTCTCAGAATGTTGATCAGATGTTAGAAGAGTACACTGATGAGGAAGTGATTTAAGGAAGAGGAAGTAAATAGTGGCGTCATGTTGTAGTGTCATTAGAGTGTGACAATTAACTGGAAAACATTTTTTTTAGATAATTTAACCTAAAGGTATCTTCAAAATAGACTTTCTGTTTTTGATATTAATAACTTTTTTCATTTTCACCTAGGCTCAGGTTCCCATATGTCCCTTATCTCATCTGTGGGCCAATCTAACCTTTACTAATAATCCTGTGTTTGTATCATTTTATAGGATTTTTTTCAATTTAATTAATTAAATTTTGTTACAGATGTTTCTCCTTTTTCCCCTGTTGACACCCTCCTCCTACCCCCCCCTCCTCAAGCATTGTTGTCTATGTCCATTGGTTATGCTTATATGTATAAGTTCTTTGGTTTATCTCTTCCCTCTCTCCCCACCCCTCCTCAGAAGTTTGTCAATCTGAACCCTACTTCTATGTCTCTGGGTCATTTTATAGGATTTTGTTTTGCATCTATTAACCTTAGTTTCATAGATTGGCACCTTACACACAAATGTGCACTTATGAGAGAAGGCATTTGTTATTTGTGAGACTTTGACTAATAGCCATTATTCTGGAATTTTTTTTTTTCTAACTTTTTACCATCTTTTAGTGACCTTAAACATTTCTTTACCACTGAACTTAAGATATAATTGGTGAATCATCTTGCTTGTATGAACCACTCTCAAAGCCAAGTAGGAAATGTGAGATTATATTCTAAAATTCCTCGTATAACCTGTGCCCTGTTTTTCTCCTCAGGTGTTTGGGTTTCTAGCAAGTAGTATGTTCCTGCTTGACTTTGGCATTATGGTCTATGAAAAGAAACAGGAGTCCCAGCTGAGAAAACCTGAGACTACCAATAGGGCAGAGGCCCTCACCGAACCGCTTAATGCTTAAAGACTCCAGGGAGCAGGGGCTACATAAGGTAGCGACTGCGTGATACTGCGCCCGGGCAGAAGTGCTTGTACTATCTGTGTAATTGCTAAACCACTTCTTTTGAAGGGGAGGGGCTTTAAGGCAGTTTTATCAATATTGGACAGTATGTCAGTCACCACGAGTTAGGCCAGGGTTTTTTGTTTTTTTTTGTTTTTTATAACATTTGAAACTTGTATCAATGAAGTTTTTATTTTTAAGGTTTTTGAAGGGGAAGGCAGGAGTTTCTTTCAATCACAGCTTAAGTGATGATAAATGATTCTGTCATTGTTACTAGGTTTAGCTTTCAAATTATTCTTTATGTATAAACAGTGTGATAAAGTTAATCCATTTAGACATTGTTTCATTTTTAAATTAATTTGCTTAGCTATGAGTTGGTTTTTGATGATTAGATAAAATTTAATGTATATTTAAATTTTTAAATTCAAAATTTTAAATGTTAGTCTCGGTTTTTCCCTCAAAATATAATATCCAGGCTTTATTGTATCTCCCTTAGCCTTAAAATTATATTGTAACCTTTTAAGATAATTGCTATTAACTCTTTCATAGTCTAATAGAAAATGTATGGGAGATGCTGGTATTTTATGTGTATAAAAGCAACATGAGCAACCCAGTATTTATTGTGCACTTTGGTTGTTGTTGATATCAAGTAAAAAAAAATGTATGGGACACATAGAAAAATGGAAGAAACTGATATCATGCCTAAGGACCAAAGATAATGATGATATACTTTTTGTGCAATACAGTAAAATTGTAAGAGCAGGCTTCGACCACTTACCAAATGTCCGAAGAGGTGAGTTCATACTGTGCGTGAGAAAATGGTTGGTTCTCTCATTGGCGCACGGTTATTTCTACTGAAATGGATACAGCTCTGCAGGTCCTCTTTGGCGTTTTCTTTGGAGCCAGTCCAGCCTTTGATTTCACATCTATGAGATGCTCACTCTTCTGTCTCCTTCCAGGATGGTCCATACACTGTCACCCGCAGGCAGCAGGGCACCTCTGGCTCTGACTCCTTCCTGTTGGCAGTTGTCTTTCGATGGTCCAGGACCTTGGGCGCTTTTAATTGCACAGATTGTTAGCGGGATCCTTAAGGTTTTTGTTCGCAGAGAGGCATTGCTCTAGTTTCTCTTTGGAGGAGACCATCTTAAGAAAGTGAGTATCTAGAGTAGCAGTTCTCAACCTGTGGGTCACAACCCCTTTGGGGGTCGAACGACCCTTTCACTGGGGTCGCCTAAGACCATCGGAAAACACGTATTTCCGATGGTCTGAGGACCGAGACAGCTCCTCTGTCCGTCTCCAGGCGGGTCCGCCCACGTGCAGATACGCCCACATCCAGCTTGAGGAACTGTATTAAAGGGTCGCGGCATTAGGAAGGTTGAGAACCACTGATCCAGAGGATCCTGCCCAGGTAATACTGTTGATGGTGTAAGGGAGTAGTCAGACCATTCTTAAGAACCGGTTCTGATAATTTGGAAGAATTGCTTATTGTTGGTAGGCTGTGATTCACAGAATTGTCCTCCTAGATTTTTGACTGAAGACTTGGTGTGAAAGTGATGAACCCACGTGTCAGGTCCTTCAGGACTTGGTGGAGGTCTCCTGGGCTAGGCGTGCTAGCTGTTCTATCTGAAAAAGTGGAATCATGTTTCCAGTGAGACAGTTCAATGGCCCAATTCTTTTTTTTTTTAACTTCTCACCTGCCTTTTGTGCATTGTAGGTAGGTTTCAGCTGCATAATGTGGCTAACGTGGTTCTCAAAAAGTGGTCCTTATGGCCAGACACAGCTTCTGCTCTGTCTTAGTGACTCAGGGCCTTGTCTCTTTGTATCAGAATCTGGATGCTAGTGCTAGTGGTGATGTCACCATGGCCCGCTTGGGAGATAATGAAACCAGCCGTGGATGCTGTTACTGGGCGTGCCATCTAGGAGAGGAGAAACGGCCTGGGTCTTGGGTTGAAGAATAAAGACTGGTTCAAAAATAACCAGCTAATGGTAGGGAAGTTCTGGAATTTTACATCAAACTACTGGACCATTGCCATTTTATTTTTTTATTTTTATTTTTTAATCCTCATCTGAGGGTATTTTTCCATTTATTTTCAGATAAGGTGGTAGGTAGAGATAGAGAGAGAGAAACACTGATGTGAGAGAGACACACCGATTGATTGCCTCCTGCATGGATCTGACCAGGGCCAGGGACAAACTGCAACTGAGGTACAGGCCCTTGACTGGAGTTGAACCCGTGACTCTTTGGTCCACAGGCCGACGCTCTAACTGCTGAGCCAAACTGGCTAGGGCTGTACCATTGCCATTTTAAATATCATCTAGACCCAGCTGGGATTTACAGCAAACCATCTGGCCTGCCTCAGGGCCACCCCCATGCACTGGGCTTAGTTGAGAGTTTGATGGTCATGTCCTCAGCCAGCCTTACACATAAGCTGCATTGAACTTGAGCTCTGGTTGCTCTGAGGTTTCTCTTCCATTTGTTTCCTTGGCAGAGGGCCATTTAACCTTTGCCTTTTCAGAAAGATAATATATTCAGCGGCATTTTTGGTCATTCTAGAACCTTTCTTCACATTGATTTTTATGGGCCCGATTAGCCTCCCTCTTCTACTGTAGAAGTTAGGAGTAAAGGACCATTGTGGTAAATAAAAGTTCAAGGAGAACTTGCAACCAAAACCACTGTCGTGTACAGAAAAAGACAGACTCCATAAACTCAAATTTAAAATAATTTTTATTAACGTCTATGATACATTTAATTTGTTATATTTTATACAAATAAACTGGTTAGAATGGCTTTTAAAAGTGATAAGGGAAATGTACTTACAATGTAAACATTTTATAATTGCTATACTTAAATTATATTCTGTTTTGGGACTGGGAAATGTATTTTTACATTGTTTATAGCCAATCATTTTGTATTTATCAATTGAAAGCCTGTGAGTCTTTTTTTATCTCCATGTCAAATTTTGTAGTCTTCTTTTTAAATAAATTCATCTTATTGGCCATGATTTTGTGGTGGTTGAATTATTACAGAAGCATGGTATTTAGGAGAGGGTGTTCTCAGAGCTGTAGGGGTTGGCTCTGCAGCCGGGTGAGTGTTTACAGAGGACGCTGGACTGTGCATCTGCCCAGATGTGGGCTCAAGGGGAAAAGAAACAAACCCAGTTCCTACCCACGGATTCGCCTCTTGATGGGAAGTTGGAATACACACTCAAAGAAGAATCTTAGGGAGCTGAGGGTGAAGAGCTATAAAAGAATGTTACAGACTAAATCTTTGAATACCACTAAAGAAGCTAACTTGGACTCTTCCTCACATTTCTCGACGTGGCTAACAATGCTAAACACAAAACAGGCACATTCTCTTTCGGGCTGTTCGATGATTGTGAAAGTGCGAAGCAAAACTAGGGCGGTTCTGGTAAAGCTACAACTATTTGTGTAGTTTGCAAAATTCCTGCCTCCAGCCTGTATGAGAATAACAAGGTCTTTTGTAGTCATCAAGAACTCACTAGTTTGTGCATTCTTCAGAGTTTTGTGTGTGTGTGTGTGTGTGTGTTTCCTTAAAGAGCAATTAAGTGGATCTTAAAGAGTAAGGAAAATTTATTTCATAAGAAGTCTGGGCTGGACAATTCCCAGACTGGTAAATTCAGAGGCTCAGTGGTGTCAGCAGGGACTCGGGTTCTTTCTTTCCATGTTTGTCTGGCCTTCCATCTGCTGCCAGATTGGGTCCTCAGGAGCAACCCGATAGGGTGCAGCAGGACTGTGGCAACATCTCCAGGAATCATCCACTTGCACAGCAGTGTCCAAAGGCCGGAAGGGAAGAGATTGTTTATTATTCTGTGTCTCTCAAGGTGTTCCTTTTTCACAGAAGCCCCTCGGTGGGCTTGCTTACTACAAAACATGAAATGCCTATTTCTAAATCTCTTATCGACATGGAGAACGGCGTGACTGTAATTGGCTTAAAATAATTACGGTTCTCCCCCTTAGGCTGTGTGTACCCTTTGGAGACTATATCCTTCTGATACCTGAACAAAATTGGTTCTGTTGGCAAGAGAAAGGGCCATTGTGTTGGGGCTCCAGTGTCATCCTAAGCATGTTAAGGATTGTGTCTCAGCCAGGAGAAGTAAAATTCCCAGTTTAAGACTTTTTTTGTGTGTGTGGGCTGGACTACCCCAAAACAATTTAAAATGGAAAAACTGACATTTTTATTTTTTGACTGAATCATAATTCTGTAAGTAATGTGTATCATGGAAAATTGGTTTAATAAAATGTGGGAGGTATTGCTCTTCCCCTGCTATCTTTGCATTTGGCTACCTTTATTTTTTATTTTTAAAATAGGCGAGGCACTGGAAGTATCTCAAAGGATAACTCCTGGTGTAAACACCACCCAGCGTTAGTAGGTCATAAGTTGTTGCCATATTTGCTTTAAGGTTCCTAGGTTAAAGAAGAAAATGAAGTTATATTTTAAAGTATCACCACCTCTACTCTTTTTCCTTTTCCAAAGGTAAACACTATCTTGCATTTGGTGGGTCTCTTTCCTGGCCGTTTTTATTGTCTGTATTATCTATATACAGGTGTATTTGTAAACAAATTACATGGAATTTGTGCTCTATGTATCGTTCTATAGCTCACTTTTTCAAATGTATCTGATAAGTGTAACTCTAATTCATACATTTTAAGTGCTGTTTGGTATCCATTGTAGGAAAATGCCCCATTTACTTTTCATCCTCCTGTTAATAGAAACAATTTTTTTCTTTTATTTTTTAACTATTTATTTTTGTTACAGATGTTTCTCTGTTTCCCCCCACTGATTCCCCCCTCCCCCACCCTCCCCAATAGAAACAATTTAATGTGGTTTTCTTTTTGACTGTTTCAACCAAGGTTACAGTGAACAGACATACTTGAACATCTTGTCTACATGGGCAAGAGTTTGGGTGTGGACTTCCAAATAAAACTGGCGGGTCAGAGATTATGTGCAATTTCAGCGTGGGTAAATATTTCCAAATGGGTCTCCAGAGTGGTCAGACCAGTTCTCATTCTCAGCAGCGGTGTAGGAGACCGCCCATTTCCCCATGCTTCCCTTGTGCTTAATATTAGTTCAGCAGGACGTTTTTGCCAGTGTGGGACTGAAATAGTCTTTCATTTTATTTAGTTTTTAATTTTTTTTCTTTATTGACTTTAGAGAGAGAGGAAGGGAGAGGGAGAGAGAGATAGAAACACTGATGAGAGAGAACATCGACTGGCCGCCTCCTGCATGCCCCCCACTGGGGATCTGGCCCACAACCTGGCATGTGCCCTGCCTGGGAATTGAACCGGAGACCTCTTGGTGCATGGCCGACGCTCAGCCACTGAGCCTCTCCGGCCAGGCTCATTTTATTTTATATTTCCTGTATAAGCAGTGAGTCTGATCATCTTTTCATTTATATGTTGACCTTTCAGGTTTCCACACATCTGTGAGTTGTTTGTTTTTATCCTTTGCCCTTTTTCCCCCATAGTGAGGTTTCCTTTATTTGAGAGTTTTTAACATATTGTGGATATTCTCCTTTGTTAGTTATATGCCTTGGAAAATATCTTCTCACAGTTCGTGATTTATATTTTAACTTTGCTTCACTGGTTACCTCGAGATCAGAGATGTTCTCTACTTTCTAAAATGTTTAAAGATATTTATTTATTTATTTATTTATTTTTCTTTATTGATTATAGACAGAGAGGAAGGGAGAGGGAGAGAGAGAAACATCGATGAGAGAGAACATCCATTGGCCACCTCCTGCAGGCCCCCCACTGGGGATCAGGCCCACAACCGGGGCATGTGCCCTGACCAGGAATCACACCGGTGACCTCTTGGTGCCTGGGTCAATGCTCAACCACTGAGCCACACTGGCCAGACAAGACTTTCATTTTATATCTAGTACTTGATTCTTCTTTAATTTTTATGGGTAAGTACCTCATACCATCTGATTTATTGCTTCAGCAAGTAAGTCCTTGCTCCTCTAATAGACAACGTTGTTTCTGTCATGTTCCAAGTTTCTGTACATACATATATATGCATGGGTCTGGTGCTGGCTTTCTTAGGCTATTTTTCTATACTTTTGCTAATACCAAAGTCTTGATAAAATCTATTATCTAAAAGAGCAAGTTCAAAATGATTCTGTTCTGTACTTGGCACTTAATTTTTTTACAGTAAAGAGTTTTTTAGAGCAGGTTTACGTTTACAAGAAAATCAAGAGAAAGGTACAGAGGCAGAGGCACTTATTCCTATAAATTTTTTTTCCAAT